AAATAATTAGTGAACTGGAGTAAGATATCACAGCATTGAAATAGATTTCTAAAAACGTCTTGTTTTGAGTTAAATCCGGTAAATAAATAAAAAAAATTAATTATTTAGTGCATGCAGATTGTATACAAAATACCATAATAACTAGAAATAGTCTACAAACAATAATAAATAGATCAGTAAATATTTAAAGTAATTCCTCCATTTCTACCAAATTAACGAAATGAAATCTGAAAAGAAATTTAGTTACATCCGAAATTTAAATATTTTTTCCTATCCTAATCACGTACACTGATGTTAAAAGGGTGATGTTAATTTATATCCCTTACCTTTTCCAGAACAAAATTATATAGATTTCTATTAGATAGGAACACCCTAGTAGCCAAGTTTATGTAACTTTAATAATATATTACAAATATAAACAGATTTCAATTATTTTTTTCATAACAACAATTGTCCCAAAAGATCAGCAAAAACAAGTAATATCCGAAATTAAAATGTGAAGATTTTTTTTACAGCAGTGTATTTAAGCGAGCAAGGAAATAACACGGCAGAACACTCCCGATTATGTTCAGAGATAATACGAGCGTGCTTATTTACGGGCACTGATAACGGGGCGATGATTTAAGAAAGCGCGATAATGTTGCCGATTTATGACCATAAACCACCTTGTTACTATTAAATTATGGGTATATACATACAAGTAAAGCTGTGTTAATGTGTATTTTAGAGTCGTATTTAATTTATTTATATTATTAAACGGGTCTTAACACACACTAATTTTATGACAAATAAAGGTATTTACCTTTCTCAACGTTTCGACTAGGTTGCACTAGCCGTGGTCCCGAGCTGACTGGAGTAACAGCGATGTCAATGTAGATAGGTGACAGCAGTTTTTTCATCTACCGTCACTAGATTATTCAACGAAAGTTCGCGACACATAGCACTCACGGTATCCGCACACTTATTGACTATTGATGCTACTGAACTTTGCTTGAATTTATTATTGTATTTAATTTTATAACTGGAATAGCAAACAAGCGTACCGAATAGCAACATGGACATCATATCATTTGACGCCCGTGGTACCCAACAAGCATTGCCATTCGGGAGGTTTAAGATGTTATGACTCCGTAATTTCGATGCCTTATTACAAACGAAACATCTTACAAATCAAGATTTTTCGTGGCTGAAATAGGTGAGATAGAAACACTGAGACGGATGACTTTGTAAAAATTCTAGCCCGGTAAATTTTTTATATAACCACTGAAAATACAAAATTCAGATTTAATTAGCAAAATAATTTAAGTGAATATAATAATTGATTACACTTAATAACAGAATAATTTCTGGACAGTGTTTACATTATATTACACCGGCCTTAAAAAAATGGGATAAGGAAGATGCAGATGATGATTTATATTTTGCTCAGTGATAGTAAATTTAGAAAAAAGTCTAATATTCTATCATTTGTGATAGAAGTAATAAAGTTTTATAAGACAATGAGAATATATGTATGAAATTATCAGAATCAATTGTAGTTATTATATTTATGTATTTCTGACATTATGAAAAATTGAATAGAAACTAACTTCGCTCAAAAATTTCTCATTGTAAGTAGTTATTATATTCTAGTACCGTATTCAGTTTTTACATGAAAGATTATATAATATTATAATACTTTTTTTTAAATATAGATATTTTTTACACACTAGGTTTTAACGTCTATATCTACTATAGTATAACTAATATTATAGCAAAAAACCTTGAACTCAACATTATCTCGTTTCGTGTCAGCGACAACCCTGAAAATGTTAGAAGAAAATACGAATGAAATGAAGTGAGCTAGTATGGGTTTGATAAACGAGTTTACGCCCGCCTATCTTTTGTCCAAGTCGTTCCCTTGATGAGTACAACTGTGTTTTCGTGCTGCGAAGCTTTGAATATATGGCACAGTTTAATGTAACTGTGAGGTTACAGATGTTAGTTAAAGTATTTGACGATTTTATAAATGTTGTTTATGCATTTAAAGTAATTTATACGTTCACTAGTTTTAAACTTCAATATTATAAGTAATACGGCTGATTTAGCGTATATCTTTTCTCTCCTGAGATTTACATTAAATACCATCTGCATGATAAATATTTGGTATATAGAAAACAAATTTGAATTTCTCATATAAAAATTTTTCATATAATAAATGATAATATCGTACTGATTAGCTCTTATAAGGATAAGTGAGACACATGTACCCTTGAGCATTTCTAAATCCTTCAGTAATTACCGTAAATCCCGTGAACATTCTTTCATAAATTTTTATTGGCTGCTCAAATACACTATACTTATATAATCGGCAGGTATTGTGTAAGTGACGAAGTATGCAGTTTCATTGTAGTTTACAAAATTTTCATTTTAACGCGGAAAGAGTCACATTAAATAGCAAGGTATATATAAACCTAGACAACTACGCTCACTATTTTGTGTTAAAATGAAATGCACATGGATATTCAGTATAAAAACATTTTATTCTCTCAACACCGGTAGAGCAAATCCATCAATTTGTCGAGGCGCCATCGAGCCTATTTGTCTGCGCGTCCAATTAGGACTGTCAAGTAGCAATGTAACGTTCGGAGATATTTTGACGAACGTAATATTATGACAGTTTTGCAGTTGACAAGATCGGTTCGTTTATTTACTAAATAATGGTTTGAATTTTGCACGCCTCGGGGGTCTAGTACACCGCTTCACTTCCGATGGTCACGGGCTCGATTCCTCGCACGGTGCAAACATTTGTATTCATGAGTACAATTGTTTGTATCGGTCTGGCTGTTTTCTATGTATATTATATATATTTACAAAAAAATAATCTAAGTGTTTATATACTTGTCTAATACCCATAACACAATGACTGCTTATTGTAAATTGTCCAGGGTGAAATGTTGGGTGTCATATAATCATGCTAATGTAATATCGTATTGCTGTATCTACTATACACATAGGCGATGGTTACTACTTCCTATCAGGCACAGATAAAATAATATTACATATTATTAGGTGAGCGTAAGCTTGTTTGCTGAATGAATGAAATGACAGTTATGAAATCAATATGTAACTTAAATTTAGAAAATCGATTTCCCAAGAGCCTAGCGATTACGATTCATTGAATTCCTATTAATAAATATAGTTATGTCTAATTAGGACTGTCAAGTAGTAAGTATGGTAGATATTTTGATAAACCTAATATTATGATAGTTTTGTAGTTACCAAGACTGACTTATAAATAAATTCTGACGTGTGTAGCATTAAGTACTACTAAACATATTATTAATTAATTAACGTATTCAAATCCATGAGTTAATTAATAGATAGGTACTTGTATTACAAAGTCTGTTCAGTTTATCACAATATAGTGCTGTGTAATATATTCATAATTTTTATTTTATTAAATTGTAGGTTATCTTTATATAAGTCATTGACTTACACTGTGATAAAATTGAGATGACATGCAAAACAACAGAAGCATGAGCTGAATTTAATTTAATTTGAAGTTCATAATAGTTATGTGATTAAGTACATAGTTGTGATACTACTATTACAGTTCTTTGAACCCGGGTGCAGTGTAAAATAAACTGTAGTGAAATTAAAGCCTTTAAATCAAGGCACGCAGTTCTGTCCACATGCCACACGCGTCAGACACGTAAATGCGTGCATGCTGGCTCGTAAAACATTTTGGGGGCGCCCTAGTATAACTAGGATTTATCTCCAAATTTTCAGGACGCAATAATTCTTTAAAATGCCTTACCATGGCTACAATAATAAAAGGATGAGATAGGCCACCAACTTAAGTAAGTTTTTTTGTTACTATTTATATTAAACCCGAATTTAATAAAATTGTTGTTAACTGTTTATTTCTTCACTAGATGTAAATAATACAAAATTGCTAAAGTAAATATTACTAAAATAAATTCTACAAATATTTATTATTTCTGTAATTAGAAACATAGATAGAAATAGTCAAGCAAACTTGGGAAAGTTTGCTTGACTATTTCTCTCTCTATAATGTTAGTATTAGTATGGATAAAATATTTAGATCTTTTACAGTAATAAAAAATGGACAACAATAAGTATTGCATATGATAATCATCATGTTAACTATAATGACATACTTAATTAATACCGCATTATTTTAAAAATATTGTGATCACTTGATGTCTATGAGAATACTTTCTGAAAACAATTGGATCGGTCCACTTAAATCATTAAAGTTGGCTACATCAGTCGCCTTTGCAACGCGGGACCAATTCGTCGAAAATCCAGAAATATTGGTTTGTAACTCACATGTCCATAACTCGATTGTTTCTGAATTATTTACCAGTTCTATTTTCCATTGGCCGGAGTTCATGATAATTCACATGTAATCTGACTATTCACAAAATGAATTAGATGTTTCAATATTCAATTTTGTACAATTGTAGACGTCTATCACTTTACAAATGAATACTATGAAGTTATTGGATTAGACATTATTATGACGTATGAAATGTTATTTGTAATTTGCCGTATTGGATTTGAATTTATAGAGATATAGAGATTCAGGAGAAATATCAAACATTACATTGAACGTAATAAAGTGTGCTGTTTCATATGTCTCTATTACTATTATAATTATTAAATATTTTTTTCAATACTGTTTTAAAGTAAATTATAGAAAATGTATATCGTAGGTTTTTTTAGACTAATATTTTATAATTACGAGTGAAGCGGAGGTATCAAATGTGTCTGATGAGTGAGAGATGCTGAGGGTTTTAACGAGGAAAATACGGAGATTAAATAAAATGCGACTAGTATGACAGCGATATATAATAGAAAGTAACAAAAGGAATATGTCAAAGAATATTATTATAAAATTTAAAAATAGTACAAAAACCTATCAAGGAGTTCGCTACATCCTACCCCTCGTGCAGAACTGCACCAACTAGTAAGCAGGCCAAGGTCAGGAGACCTTAAGTGGTCAACTTCACTAGTTTTTTAAGCGGTCGCCGTAGCGTGCCTCCTGATGTGGCAACGTCCACTACTCTTATCACACCATCTTTCCCGGGAAACATTTTCTCTACTCGTCCGCGTGGCCAAGTTCCTCGTGGTAAGGACTCATCTACTATTATTACCACGTCCCCAATCTGTAAAACTTGTCCCTGCATACCTCTTGTCTGTGCTCGTGGTTGCATTGTGGGTAGTACTTCGCGTACCCACCTGTTCCAGAAGTGGTCAGACAGTCGTAGGGCTTTCCTCCAATCTGATCGCCCAATTAAATCTCGGTCTTCTAGTACTGGATTTATTTGGTTTGAGGATGTACCTATGAGAAAATGAAATGGTGTTAATGTGGTTGGATCATCAGGATCGCTTGAAACATGGGACAAAGGTCGTGAATTTACAATTGCCTCCGCTTCTGCTAACAATGTTAAAAGTACTTCCTCCTTAGGGGACCTTTCTTTTAGAGTGGCCTTTAGTGCGACCTTTACTGTTCTTACTAGGCGCTCCCAACATCCTCCAAAAGTCGGTGCTGCTGGTGGAATGAAACTCCAGGTGATGCCTTTCGTGGCTACAAAGTCTTTTACATCGGTAGTTAGAAATTCCTTGAGAATACGGCAGGCTCCTACAAAGGCGGTACCATTATCTGAAAATATGGTAGTTGGAGCTCCCCTTCTGGCAATAAATCGTCTGAGACTCATTATAGCTGCGTCAGCAGATAGGCTGTGTACCACCTCCAAATGAATAGCTCTTGATGACAAGCATGTAAACAAAGCCACATAGCGCTTTTCATGACGTCGCCCAATAGTGACAGTAATTGGGCCGAAATAGTCTATTCCTGTAAATGTAAAAGGTCTTTGATGATGTGCTAATCTTTGTTGTGGGAGGTCTCCACGTAATGGATCCATCGGTAAGGTTCTCCGAATACTGCAGAAAGGACATTGTCTAGCTACGGATCTAACAGTATTACGTAGGCTAATTAACCAGAATCTTTGGCGCAGATCGTTTATCACCAATTCATGGTTTGCGTGGCCAGCCCGTCGATGATAATAAAGTACCAATAGGCGTACGACTGAGTGGTGGCCGTCGAGCAAAATGGGGAACTTGGTTTCAGGATCGACGTCTTCTACGGCTTTGATTCTGCCAGCTAAATGTAGTAATTTGTCTTCTCCAATGTTTGGTGACAGTTTACACAAGCGACTATTTCGAGGTATTGGCTCAGAATTTAGAATCTTTCTGTATTCTTCTCCAAAGCTGTCAAGTTGTGTACGCATCAAAATATGTCTTTCTGCGTTTTTAATTAGTTCGCCTCCTAACGGTGATAGATTAGTGGACGTTGAGTGTTGGCGAGACTGAAAAACTTCACCAGTTAATTTAGAATTTCGAAATTTGACCAAATTTTTTCTAAAAATAGCTGCAGCTTGATGAACCCGAGCTGTAGCACGTAACAAACGGATCCAGTCGCTAAAATAATTAAAATGAGCAGTAACTGGACTAATCATATCTGTGTCAAAAGAAGTGAATCCTACCAATTCGTGTGGTTCACATTTTAGCTCCTCACGAATTGGTGTGATGTTAACTGGCTCTATGGGCCATGTTTTAGGAGAATTGTATAAGAAAGGTGGTCCGCAAAACCACCTATGAGAATAATTTAAATCAATGGGAAGTAGTCTAGTTGCGTCGTCGGCTACGTTCATGTCAGTGGGCACCCATCGCCATTCGCTAACAGATGAATTTTCTAACATTTCTCCAATGCGATGGGCAACAAATGGTTTGAAACATCGTGCGTCACTTCGTAGCCATTGCAGAACAGTCATCGAATCAGTCCAAAAGTTTGTAGATGCTGTCTTTTTACGATGACTATCCTTAATGGTGATTGCGAGACGTGATGCCATTAGAGCGGCCTGAAGTTCCAAACGTGGAATTGAAATTGGCTTCAGAGGAGAAACCCGAGCTTTACTCGAAATGAGGACAAGCTTGATACTTCCGTCAGCGTACACTAAACGCCAATAAGCGACGCAAGCATATGCAAGCTCACTTGCATCCGCGAAGATATGCAATTCTCTATGTGAGGGTTCGTATCCTCTACTGCTAGAATACCAGCGAGGGATGGTTAATGAAGAAATATTTAATAGTTCCTTAAACCAATCATTCCATTTAGACGTTTCTGATTGGGAAAGTTCGGTATCCCAATCGATATTAGTTCTCCAGGTTTTTTGAAATAAAATTCGTCCTTTCACGACAATAGGCCCTAATAAACCCAATGGGTCATAAACTCGCATTATATGTGATAAGACTTTACGTTTTGTTAAGGAAGTAGGGTGGGTTTCACCTATACCAGTGCGGAACCCTAAATTATCAGTTATCGGGCTCCATGATATACCTAAAGCTCGGACATTAGTGACAGAGCTACAAAGATCGATTTCCAATGGTTGAGCTGCACGAAGCTCTTCTGGGACAAGTTTCAACACCATTGGCTCATTGGAAATCCAACCCCGCATCTCAAAACAAGCAGCAGCATGCACTGTGACAATATCTGATGCTAACTGGGCTGCCTCATTGATATTATCTAACGAGTCTACATAGTCATCCATATAGTGATGACCCAATATGGCTTCTGCTGCTTTAGGATACACGTGTTCATGAAGCGATGCGTTCTTATTTTTTATGAACTGTGCAATAAATGGGCTACAGCATGCGCCAAAAATGACGGCCGTCATCCTGTACTCTTTTATGGGCTGTGATTTGTCGTATCTCCAAAGAAATCGAAAGGCATCCCTGTCCTGTTCCCTTATTCGAACTTGTGGAAACATCTCCTTAATATCTGCCATCATAGCAAATTGACCCTCACGAAAACAAAATAATATTTTTAATAATGATTGTAGCAGATCAGGCCCAGGAAGTAACAATGAGTTCAGGCTGACACCCTCATTTTTAGCTGCAGCATCATGAACAACTCGAAGTTTACGCTTCTGAGGATGATATATACCGAAATGTGGAAGGTAAAAACGAATATTTTCGGGCAATATTTTACTACAGCCCTTTGAATAATAAGTCTCAGATGCACATTCTTCTGCGTAATTTTTAGTAATCATGTTTGTTATAAAATCACAATACGCTTTAGAAAAGTCGGTATCATGGGACATGCGTCTTTCTAAGCTTAAGAACCGTGATAACGCTTGAGGATAACTGTCAGGGACGTAGTGTATATTGTGACGCCAAGGCATGCCTACCTCAAATCTACCAGAGGGTAGACACCTCGAGGTCGCTTCTAAGATGTCAACAGCACGTTGTTCCTGCATGCTCAATACTGATTCTGTTTTAGAAATACCTAAAGAATCTATTTTGTATTGTTCTTTAATTAAAGACTCTAAGTCATCATCCTTAAATGGTTCAATAAATGTTCCGTGGTTAACAAATTCGATTAATTTGGTTTTACTGGAAGAAGCCCCATACAATGTCCAACCTAGTACCGTTAAACAGGCCACGGGTTCATTCTTTTTACCAACGCGAACGTCACGATTAATTGACAAGTGCCAATCCTCAGCACCTATTAAAACAGTCGGAGTGACGTCATCATATGATAGTACATCAACTAAATCGGACAAGTGTGAGTATGGTTCAATATCTTCTCGATTAATTGTTTGAGATCGTAAAGATAATGAGTCCATTGCCTTAGCATTTTTTACTAAAAATGTGTCTTGTGTGTGCCTACCTTTAATATAAAAATCGACATACGTTACTGTGACATGTCGTTGAAGACCACCAATACCGTTCACTGTAATCGTGTGTTGCGGCCCTGTCGCGCCTATGCGCGTCGCAATACTAGTGTCGATTAAAGTGGCTGTACTTCCGTCATCGAGAAGTGCGAAGACATCACAACTCCCTCTAGGTCCCGAGACTGTGATAGGTATCACCTTTAAAAATGCCCGCGGACGACTAGCTGTAGGTTGTTGTACTCCGGTATGAGTAGTAGACACAAAAAGTTTATCTTCAGATGACTTTGAACAACTAGGTATTAATTGTGTATTTTCTATACTACATACATCCGTGACATTGATATCTGTAGTTTGTGAGACACTGGCCTTATGTGAACTAGATGAATGTTGATGAAGTAAAGGATGATGACGAATGCGACACCCGTCGATATTGCAGGGCTTTACTTTACACGTTTTCCACTGATGTGAACTAGTTCGTAAACACCGATAACAAACTTTCGCTTGTCGTAGCCATTGCCACCTTTCATCTACAGATAAAATTTTGAATTCCGAACATAATTTAATATTATGACCTTTTTTACAAAATGAACATGATATTTTTTTGTTGTCACTGTTGGTATGTGTCATTGTGTTAATATTTTCACGCCGAAATGATTGTTTCTCACTAAAAAAAGGTTGCATTGAACTAGACTCGGGCGACAGCCCAAAACGAATATGTTGATCTAGTTCACGCCTTAAAAATTCAGACAACAACTCTAATTTTGGACGTGTTGTGGTATTTTGTGTGGCAAAATCTGTCCACCTAATTTTAATTGTAGGGTTCAATTTCCCTAATACTGCGTAAAAAAGCTCTGGAGAGTGTAAGTATTCTGTCTTGTTTAATAATTTAATTGTGGCTATGGAATTACGTACCCTATTGGCAAGAGTAGCGAGTTCTTTGAGATCAGTGCCCAGACGTGGAAGATTTTTTAATTGAGATACTTCCCTGAACACGATCAACTCGGGACGCGCGAAGTTCTCTTCAAGTGCGCGTATGACTTCGTCCGGGTTATCCGTTGCCATCAGTAATGCCGCGACAGCGTCATGCGCGGGCCCTCTCAGTACACTCTGAAGTCTGGATAGATTGCCTAAAGTAGAGAAATTATTTTTAGTGAGCTCGTAGATGCGTTTAAAATGTAGCCACTGAAGTGGGTTCCCTGAAAATGGAAATAGGTCGGGATTGGACCCTCGGCTGGACGCAAGAGCTTTCGCTGCTGCAGCGGTGTCCGCTACAATTTTAAAAATATTTGTGTCCGTATTAACGAGCGGGGCCGTCATATCCACCGCCTCGGGCACACTAATTATATTATTATGTTGTCGCATAGAAAGTATAACAGGGGATGCAGTTGGCCGTGTGGTTGTCGGTGGTAATACCGGACAACCGGCAGATGGAACAAAATCTTGTTGTTCACATTCAATTGCGGAAATGACCCTATTACCTATATCTCCTTGGTTTTTAATAAACTTAGTATTTTCCACCCACCTCTCTGTATCATTTACCACCCTGGTTGAATTGTGATGACTTGTGCGACTTCCAGTACAGCTGCCATTGGCTTCAATAGCTGCTAACTCGGCACGTAGCTCGCTATTTTCAACCTCTTCCTGTAGAGCTGAAAGTTGTAGTTCACGATCACGTTGTTGTTTTTCACGCACACGTTGTTGTTCTTCACGCACACGTTGTTGTTCTTCACGCTCACGTTCCCTTGCGGCAAAATCTAACTCACGCTCTAGACGACGACGTAAGGCCATTGCCTCCGCAGCGGCCTTTTGGGCCTTGACGGTAGCAGATGAATGGCTCGACCCGGTTTCAATCGATTGTACACTATGAGTTTTACTGCCCTTCTGACTATCATTAGTAGTCTGTGGGTTGACTTGCAGGATGGAACAATTTGGTGCAAGTACGGATGACATGACTCTACTTTTACTACGGGTGATCATGAGAATGAGAATAAATGATAGCTTAGATTTATATGTAATGAGAAAATACAATGAAAATAAATAATGATACCTATAACTACGAAAAATGAACTATGAAAACTAGGTGCGCTGTAAATATAATAGGTAGAAGGACCAAAATGAAGCGGAGGTATCAAAATGTGTCTGATGAGTGAGAGATGCTGAGGGTTTTAACGAGGAAAATACGGAGATTAAATAAAATGCGACTAGTATGACAGCGATATATAATAGAAAGTAACAAAAGGAATATGTCAAAGAATATTATTATAAAATTTAAAAATAGTACAAAAACCTATATCGTAGGAGTAATATTTTATAATTACGAGTATATACGGAAATTTAATCTACTTTCTATATTTTCATCTTTCACGACTGTTGTCTTGTTCTTCTTCAAGGTAAGTACCTACCGCGATTTCGTTACAGTGTCTCATTTCAAAATTTATTAAATTTCCATACATAGACATACAATATTTGATTTTAAACTATTATTTTAAAAAACGCAAGTTTTAATATGATTAAAATTTGTTTCGACACAGTATTACGGGGTGATTATATTGAAATATTATGGAAACAAATATTTTTTTATATTATATAATGCAAATTAATTCACTCGATTATTTGAGCAACAAACAAAAATATATTTATAAAATTTCACGTTTATTGAGTAGTATTGCGAAGTAATTTGGCTGTGCTCTGTGGCTTGTATAAAATAATATAATTTATAACTTTGTTCCATGAATATCTGAAAAAATATATCAGAAAACCACACAAATTTTATATAAATATAAGCGAGCGAGAAAGAGTTAAGTAAATTATTTTTTTTAATGTTTCTAGATAAATTATACGGTAGAGATATAATAATATTATATTATTATCAAAAAAATCTTCAAAAACTATGCAATTAAAGTATCGTTGACGAAAAGCATGTAAAATTTGTAATATATTTATAAATTTAGATTTGAGTTTATCTAAAGTTACAGAGCAACCAAAGATGGCAAAGAATTTATACCTTGTCATTTTTGAATTAAGAATCTTAATTTTTATCGCATTGGAGCAATCATATTTTTGCTTACAGCTAATGGGTTTAACTGAAAAATTCCTCTTAATAAGGAAACTCTTATCTCCATTAAATAAAATTTACTTTGTGCCTCCCAAGTATAATATTTTAAATCTGATAATTTTATCGTGCTGCCTATATTTAGGTAAAATTCATTAACGTTCTTCTTTGTGATGACTATAAAATTGTGGGCGAAATTTTCATTATCATACTTGTGAAATATACAAGTAAGCAAGAGATTTGGATCATGTCTTGTGTAATAAGGTAGATGCTTTTCTTTGTTTACTTTCATCGTTCCGGTAGAGTTGGAAATAATGTTGCATAAAGGTATATATTTTTTATAATATATACCTTAAAAAAATCTCACCTATCCCTTTAAAAAAAATGTACTCGTATGTATACAATATTTACGTTTGTCTTGGTTATTACTTAAGAACTACCGCATACGTTCATCTATTCATATTAATACACACAAAAAAAATGACCTATATAAAATAAATAATGTCTCTAAAGTATTATTAAATGAAACAGTCATTTAATTAAGCAAAAGGAGTGTTATGATTTTGTTTTCATTATTTCTCAGTCAGTCTGTCATTCTAAAGAAGATTTATTTAAATTTAGATAATTAGTGAATAATAACTTCAATTATGTTTTTTAAAAAATCGCCAATTTGGTTCTAAATTAAGAAACTACTATTGAACTACTTAACTAACTGTTGAAATAAATCTACGGATAAACACTATTTTACTTATAATACCTATATTATAATGTATTTCTCTCTCTAGTTTATTAATATATGAAATACTAGCTGTGCCCGCGGTTACACCGCGTGAAACTTATAGCCTATATGTTATTCTGATATAAGCTATATTACTGTAAAGTTTCATCAAAATCCGTTCAGTAGTTTTTGCATGAAAGAGTAACAAAAATCCATCCATTCTCACAAACTTTCGCGTTTATAATATTAAAAGGTATAAAGCCAAACTAAACACAGCATAATTATAGCTAGTATTATGTAATATAGCATCAGACGAGTAGGAGGCCACTTCCGACCCTCATGGGGAGACTGCGTCGTCAAGGTACTCGTGTATCCTCTTGCATCCCCGTTTAATAAAGGTCTCACAAGAAACCCTAGACGAGTTAATGAGCTGTTTCATTAGATGTACCTATAATAGGATGTTTGCCCAGCTTTTTACCTTGATATTATTTATTATTTATTTTTTTTAACTAAAGAAGTAGTACTTTATGGTTGTCACTATGCACCCATATTAAATTATTTGGAAAGAATGATCGCTAACAATATTTTAAATAAGACTTTCTTCGTACTCGTAACTTGGCGGTTAGTTAAAAGTAGATATAAAATCCAACTAGCACAAAATTTCATACCTTATTAATTAATTAATTATTAATTAATTAAACCTTCAATTTTAATAAAAATTTTGATAAGTAAAAAATATATAAGCTTAAAAACTGCAAGACATACATATTCACGACGTATAAAAAAAGGGAAGCTATGTTAGTTACAAATAACGAATTTGGTTTAAAAAAACTATTGATATTTTGAATTATACAATATTATATTTTAAAATATATTGTACACTGAGCGAAAATGTTACAAAAAAACCAAGAACATGCGTATAATGAAGAGATAAAGGCATGTTACTTTTCAGAGACTACATTTATCTATAATTTTTTATTATAGAATATTTTATAGAATTATAACTGGTCAAGTAATTTGATGATAAAAAAACATATAGATGTAACTTGTACACGGCTACTATTATAACCTACATGGTTCATTCCGTTTTTTGGGTTATACATACTTTAGGACATAAGTACATATGTTGTACTAATTATAATTGTAATCTGTTCATTTAGTAGCAAAAAGATAACAACGTATAACAACAGAAGAACTTTTGTATCTATAATATTAGTATAGACTAGATTTTTTTTCTTTGATATGTAAGTCACCATTAGGTACGCCAGTTGTCATGTCTTTTTGTACAATTTAACCAATGTAGGAACCGTTGATAATAGAGAACGCTAATGTTATAGGTCGATTACAGGAAACATTACGTTATTTGTGGTTTCACCTGAGTAATAAAGTGCCAATATATCACGAGCAATGCCCTCTATTGGATATAAAAAGACCAACTAAAGTGTCATAGATCGTGGACCACCGCAGCCCTGGGTACCGCCCACTAATACGTTTTTACAATCGTCCAATGGTAATAAAACAAGGATGGGACCCGGATTAAGCTCGTTTATCATTCGTTTTGATGGCCCTTTTTGCTATAATCATTCATTTTTCTTCCGTCGTTTTCTGCTTCCTTTGCGTTTTAATGCCTTTTGTTACCCCAGCGATACTCTTTTATCATATTAACTTATCTTGTGTCTAGGTCTTTAATAAGTAAATTATATTAAAATATTTAACGAAACTATCTTGAATGTGGATGAAATTAATATAGAAAGGACGGAAGGTCATAAATCTATTAGAAAATAATCATCAATATTTTGAAAACTTTGCCTATGTTATATTATATTAGCTGTGCTTTGGCTAAGCTAGCCTTTATCTGGAGCCGATATTTACCACAGTCTTTCTGATTACTTGATTCGTTATGCCGGTAGACTAGGTTGTCAACTACTGGAGTTAGTAGGAAATTTATATTGACACACGAAGTTGCAAAATTAATTTTTAACTTCGGGATTATGTATATAGGAAGAAATTTATATACAGTACCATAGGAAATACCTTGTTGGCTAGTAAATAAATAATCAATATATACGTTTTTCTTTCTAATGTGATACTGTATACCTATCTGTAATATTTAGCCAACTTCAGTAAACTGTAATACGCTTAAAATTTCTGAATAGTTTAGTTTCGTTTTCAGTGATCTAGCGGATTACCACAGATATTTTTTTCTGATTGTTTAGGGTTCGAATACTCGCACGATATAAACATTTGTATTCATGAGTTTATATTGGTCTGGGTGTTTTATATATATATATATATATATTGTATGTATTAAAAAAATTGAATTGATTGTACCCATAATACATGCTTTGCTTAGTTTGGGGCTGTGGCACTATGTGTTTATCTTTGGGTTATCTTTGGTTATTATGGGGTATTGTTATATTAAATACAATAATTGAATTATGTTATTTGATTTACTACAAAAGATATACTGTTATGTATATGCTTAAGTATTAAAATTTCTAAATAATAATAATTCTCGTCTGATTATTCATAGATTTTAATTCGTAAGTGTCACGAAAAGAAAAATAATAAAATTAAAGGCGTTACAACAATTGATTTGTTTGTGTCAACATTTTTTTGTGAGCTAATGACTGAAATCGCGTGTTAAGCGGGCTTTAAGTTCTTCATGTCGTGCTATTAAATCAATTATCAGAGACCTTAAAAGCTTTAATAAAATCACGGGTTACAAAAACTCTTAACGATTGACGAGGGTATTTTGACTAATTATGATGAACTAAATGTGATTCTATTATTATTTTTTAAAATTAAATCTACTCTCTAGATTTTCTACTATATTTAAGAACCAGAGAAAGCCAGGAGAAAACCAGAATAATTGGTTTTCGTACTATATTATTGACTGCATAAATTATTATATTACTTGTTCTTACATATATTGGTGTATAACAGTGTAATAAATTTTCTAATGTCATAATTACGTAGACACAGAAATTGCAGTGGAAAAAATTATATCTCTCTTTATCATACTCATCTTTGTGAATTTGATAGGAAATAGAAATTTGCACACATAAATTAAAACGCACACGTAAATACGACTCCATTTTATCGTTGGCGACTTAAACTACGTATAAAAATGCAATAATAGCCTAAACTTACTACCTAATAGTTACTGCTTTATTCTGT